AAAAATTAATTATGTAACAAATTTATTCTCCTAACAGCAGATGATAATAACACATTAAATACAAAATTGAAAATTAATTGTGTAACAAATTTGTTCTCCTGACAGTATTATAGAGAATAACAATACAAAGTACATTAATAATAAAATTGAAAAATAAATTGTGTAACAAAATTCTTCTAATTTATTAATATTTTAGATAATAATAACAGAAATTTTTTTTATTTTTTGCAGCTTTGCATTTTATTTGGTAAATACTAGTAAATAATTAAGCTTATGCAGTTTATACATAATTAACAATTTATCGCAAAAGTGCGATATGTTTGTGAAAAATTCGTTTGTTGCCTCGGAACAGCTTCTCGCGTGCAGTTTACGCAATTCTGTCAATTTTTGAAAAATGAGAAAATAAATTAAAAAATAATCGCAGACACATTTGGAGAATTCTCGGGGACAAGTGTGTCACGTGTGATTTACGAGAGTGCATTAAATCGCCGACAATCTATTTTAAATCGTACCGTCTCCCGTGCATTTCGCAGTATCATGTTCCCTTTGGACCATGTGATCGTCGGGCTCGGTCTGGCTCCGACAACCTCGCAACCTATCTCGTAGGTCTTGCCGGCGCTAAGTGGACGGTTCTCTCCTTGAATCTGGACCCAGAGCGGTTTCACTGTAAAAGAGTGTGTGTCACACTCGGATTTAAGCGCACCCATCGATCCGCGCGCGGGTCGTGAAGCTAATAGAAATTTCTCCGGTAAAGACTAAATCCATCCGACGCTTCCCGGGTAAATTGTAACAATCGATACGCAACGATTTTTAAGCACCGATTTAATACAATAATTAAAGAAAATCAATAATTATGAAGACGCATTTTTGGAAGTTGTATATTATCTTCATTTTATAATGCAATAAATTAATCATATGCGTCCCTTCTTTCCTTTTCTAATACTGTATTCGCTATAATATTTATTACATAATAAATAATAATAACATATTAATGATGTTATTATATTATCATGATTTGCAATTTAGCCGTCAATTATTAACAGTAATAAATATTAATATACGTATTGTGCTGTTTACATACTTTTCCACGTAAAACGGAACGAAATTTATGAAATGAAATTGTTACTTCTTTTCATTTGCTTTTTATATCGCAACCGCAAGATCTCTTTTTGTCGATACTCACAGTTCATATCAAGTGACACCGAACTTGATATCGGTGTCACCATGTTGTTGTTCGTGGCTTGGCAGGTCAGAAACGCACGCAAATGTTCGCGGCCTAACTTTTCCAATTGCAGCACGTTCCGGACCCTTTTAGCATCCACGGTCTCGTAGCTATTGTCCAGTAGAGCAGTTCCCTGCCACCATGTCACTCGTGGTTGCGGTCGCCCTGAAGAAACATAAGGGTCCAGAGTGGTGAATACACGTCGGTGCTACGTCGCGCTAATGGCATCCGCTCAGCGTGTAATCGCATCTCGACTTAACGCACCGTTATATAGGCAAAAATATGAAAATTAAAATCTTTATAGTGACGCTAAAGTCACTGAAGTTTCTGAGAGAACGTAATTTAAATTCCAAAATAATGTGCTAACAACGTGGTTGCATATTAATCTTTTTGAAGTAATTATCTTTTAAACATATATTTTTTATATTATTGTCGGAAGACTTTGATTGTCATTCATTTTGATAAGAAATTATTTCAAATTTAAGAAAGAAATAAGTACATATCGCATCACATACATCTATTACTGTCGCATAAAATACTATTAAAATAAAAAAAATTAGTTTATTACTGAGAGAGATTAATAAATTATGTTGAAGCAGCCACAAAATTCTATTGATATGCGGTGTGACCAACTGACTAAGAGATATTCACCAAAGTTTCTACAACATTTTCTACATCAAGGCAAGAGACAATGCCTTTTAGTTTTATATTTTTCCAATATTCGATATTTATACCTTGTTTTATCTACGAAGACGTTACCTCTATTGCTCGAAATTCAAAACGCGGGGCCACGTGTAATACATTCGCCTGGAAGTGTCAAAGAAATCGAGCCGCATTTATTTTGCGTAACTCAAGTACTGCAAGTCGAGGCAACTACATGGCGCCTGAGCGTTATAGAAGGCGAAATGCACCGAAAGTGCATCGACGTGTCATGCACTTACCACCGGCGGCGACACATGTGATATTGAGAGACGCTCCTTCGCTGTACGGGCCAAGGATGTAATGAGGAATATGAGACCTTCCATCTTCGTCCAATATGCTAAGCTGCTCCGGCGGTACTGTAACAATTTTCACAATAAGAAGCTCTTCATCTTTCCTCTTATTCGGAGTGTCTATCAGAACGGTGTCTATCAGAATAAAGGGGCTTGGGGACGAATCAATTTACGCAACGATGTATCAATTTTATAACGTCACCTAAGAAGATAAAACGCTACTACGGCTATGTCAATAAATCCCCATTCAACGCAAATAAAAAGATCCGCAAGGATCAGAGTAAAAAATCTTTAGGAAAGTAATATTTAACGCTAAAAAAATGTTAGAAAAAATATGCGATTTATGTAAAAATGTTTTCAACAAAGATGTCATTAAACTGACACGCAAACTGCTCCATGGAATATTTTTGAACCGCTAAATTTGAATTTAAAACGAAAATCTCTGAATTCAAAATGGCAATTTTAATCTGACGGAATTAAATAAAAAACGTGAAAAATCCTAAATGTACGTCAGCCGCAAAAACTGCAAGTATGCGTACGGCGTACAGATACCTCGCTAGCACGCAAAGTGTTAATGAAGTCGAGAGAATGGCGGTAATTATTGTTATCAATTTTATTCTGATCTCATCTTCGTAATAGCGCCCCACAGAAAAGAATTTAAATAAAACTGTGCTTTAGACATACGCTTATTCCTTCTTTATAAAATAATTTATAAAAGAAGAGGACAAAAATTCGAATAATAAAACAGACATGCAAACGTCATAGATTTTACTTTATACTTTTTTAAAGATTGACTTAAGAAACGAATTGTTTGTGCAATGGAATTGGAATTTTTTCATATTTATCTTTTCCGAATTCAAGTTAGGCTCTCGCAAGTACATACTATAATCAACACTATTGTTATGCGGGAAAAAATTCGCGATGCCACTAATAACGTTAATATTCGCGTCGGCGTGCGAGTGCCGCGATGCCGGCGCGAAGTGCGAGGTGAATCAATTTGCACGATGATGTATCAGTCTGCGGCGTCACGTACCGCCTTTACTATTAAGGGAATGTTATTACCCAAGATAAAAAATAAATTTTTATATACACCGCTGGCGGAGGGAGTCGGTGTCTATCCGCTCGGTATTATCGGCCACGGTCACGTAACCGTTCTTCCATTAAGGGAAACGTTACTCCAACGCGTTGCAAAAGAAAAAGTTAAATGCAGCCATGGTGCACTGTTTTGAGAGCGTAGCGTACGCGCGCGAAGTGGTCGGATACCGATATCGACTATTGGACGATAACGGTGTCGATTACATTAGATACGGTATGGCAAACGTAAATATCAAACTGATTAATGTAATAATAATCTCGGGGCGTGTCGTACAGTCTCATCATTCGGAATTCAATTATCAAAACTTTTCAATGATTATCGCGATAATTATCTGTCTGTCGCAAAGATTTTATAATTCGTTTTTTTGCAATTATCAATTTTTGATTTATCAAGCAATTTGAAAATGGTGATTTGTTTTGTCGTCGTTGTGTGATTTAAACCAGAATAGGCGCGCTATTATTTAGAAAAATAAAGAATGAGCTTTTCATATCGAAAGCTTTTCGATACAAATGATTTTCTAAATGTTTTTTAGATTGCTCATTTAGATCGCTCGTTACCAGAATTATCAGATAGATTTAATTGGATACAGTATAGAAGCAGTACGTGTAGTCAAAGGAACACACGCCGCGGTCCCGAGAAAGTTACAAAGGAACGTGCCTCGCTTCCCTTTATTGTCGAGCGCATCTTATATTCAAGTGGAATATCAGGTTCAATGCGGAATATCGTTTAGGAACTCACTGATGACCGTTAGATTGACTTTGCTGTTGCGCGTCGGCGACTGCTTGAAGTCGACTCTGCATCTGTAAACAGCTGCGTCGCTCTCCCGGACCTTCTCCAGAATAAGTTTCGCGGGGCTTTCGGAGTGCTTAAAGAACGCGCGTCCTTCTAGGCTGTGATCCTGCCAGTGATTGCCTTGATCCGGGCTGTCCCTCCCTCTCGTGTCGAAGCTGCAACAAAAATTAAATTTAATTTTATTAGGTGATGAGCTTTATTTCGAAACATACTTTGCGAGTCACTTAAAGTCAACAGTATTTAATTTGTTTTAATATTTAAAAATATTATAAATATATTTTAACAGACGATCAGATTTTACTGAAATAGTTGGCATTATCGTGACAAGATAATACATGATAAAGTGCAGAATTATGTCGAGTGATTAACTCAGGTACAATATATTATATTTATGATTTCGCGTTAAAGAACGATCGGAAGAGTTTGTTTATAAAAAGCCGTAAATAAGAAAAGCTCCCGCGCGCCTCTTATTTTCCCTTCTTTTTCCTTCAATACTCACTAATGCGCGTCATCGTGTTTCTCAGACAGGCGGACGTATAGAGAGAAACTTTTATATTGCCCCTATTAAACTCTCACGAGACGGTCAATCGAGAAAAATGCTCCGACGTGGCGCAGTTACCAAAGAAAAGTACAGAGTCACGCAGGATTCTCGTAGCACACTTTGCCCTCTAATATCGGCCCTTTTACGCTAGCGCGCTGCCCTCGTAGAATTTCTATCGGCAAGAGGCGAACAGAAACGAAGCTAACTGAATTTATGCGGCGTCGTTGCTACAAAGAAATTTTCCAAAGAAATTTGCGACGGATCGGGGCCATAATGAAATTCCTCGGTAACTTTTCAGAACTCATTATTGTGCTTGAGCGAAATTTTCGATGAGGCTTGGGCCCGGCATATTTAACATTTAAAAAGGTAATTTTTCTTCGAATAACGAAATTATTATTGTCGAACATTGCACATATAAGGGATATCCCGAATCTTGATTTTAATTAAAGACTCTTGAATTTCTTTTTCATTAAAATATCATTAAGAATTTTTCAATAAATTATAAACTATACTATTAATGTCTTTTTTTTTATCAATACTATAATCTCGGTTTAACTTACTTTTTGTCTTCTTCTAATTCTTAAAACTAGAAAAAGATAAAAAGTAAGTTAAATCGAGATTAAAGTTAATCTTCATTGATAGAGAAATGGACAGAAGTTGTGAATTAAGTTTTCAGAGCTTGAATTGAATAACAAAATCTAATGTCTACTTGAAATTAAACAGTTCTTACTTTTAAGAATTTTAATTCGAGATATAATTGTGCCAACGTTATAGTTATTGTCAACTATTAAAATATCACGACGCGTGACAATTTTTTTATATCAAATTTTTTCTAAAAAAAAAGCTCGTTATATCATTTATAGTCAAAATAGGATTTAATGTTCCAAAAATACTATATATTAAAACAACTAAGATAATTGTTGTTAATTTATTCCTTCATTTCTCTTGAATTAGATTCGCACCGCAAGGAGATCTAAAGCGAACGCGATATGTACTCGAGGTAATAATTAACCGCTATAATTTCCTTATCTCCTCGAACGTATATGCTTATAATGCGCAGTATTATAGTCTCGGGTACATCTCACAGCAGTTCTGCGATTCTGTCAGCGTTATTATACCATAGTGTCAGTTATATGCCATGGCATTCTGTTATCATGAAACTTTTAAGCGTACTGTGGTCGACATTGTCTGCATATCGGCGGTCATATTTTCGTTGAGATTTTGAACAGTCGACGTTCACTTTGTGAACGTGCATGAAAATTTCGTACAATATCTAATTAGTTCTCGACCAAACCAAATACACACTGGACCTATTTACAAGTCAAGTGCGGCAGAATGTTGTAAATAAAATATCTTTTACATATTATAATGTTGTAATAGAAAATAATTTTTGTATTAATATTACTTTTTATATTAATGATACTTTTTTTTATTTATCGTGTTTAATGTGATAAATTGTGTATTTATAGGAAAGACTATTATACAAAGCTATTTCTCTTTGGATATATATTTTTATTAAAATTTCATGAAATCCTATAATTGCGTTTTCTTGAGTTAAAATAAAACAATATTTATATCAATGCTTCTACACATATTTTTCATCTTGAAAAGAAAAATCGGCGTAAGGAAAACAGTTACAAATCTCAAGCTTGTACTGAAAGTCGGAATTGATTTCATTCGAGGTGTGACGAATGCGTTGCTCGCTCGCGTTGCACCTGCTCAGGTGCGGGTGCATCTCCGAAGCCGGAGAAAGGTTTGCCGCGCAGAACGATATATGTGCAGAGTAGTTTTCTGAAACCGGTCCTTGGAGGACGTTCGTACTTTTATATGACTCGCGCCAGTTCGCCAAGGCGAGTTACATCGTCAGCCGAGCGTGTGAACGCTCTCGCTTGTCCGAACGATTTTCTGCGTCTTCGATTTTCTGAAGCGCTTTGCTCCGGCTTTTGCCAAACGAGCGATAAATTACGTTAATCAAAAGGGATGCCAGGCGATGAAACGACATATATAAGGAATGTATATATGGTACTTTCGTTAATGAAGTGTACTGTTATCAACGTTTTCATCTTCAATTTGACACACATCTTGAGCCGCGTCAATTTCAATTCCAATTATTATACGTTATTTCTGGAATTATTGCTACTTCAAAAAGTTGCCTTTATCGAACATTGAAGACTAATTACGGTTGCGATACAAGAGAGACGTGGAAAAACAGGATACAACATTTAAAAGGAGCCGCAGATGTTTGTAATTTTATTATACTCACTTGGAGCACATTGAATTTATCGCGTGTCATATAAGGATCGTTTATAGTTAAGTGTGCATAAAATGCGAATTACTTATGCGTACAAAATATAATTTACAACTGCAGTCTAATAAATGCAATTAATCGCAAAATTACTATTCGACATCGTTTACAAACGTGTTTATCTGTCGCGTAGACATTTCAACAGCAGTGAATAGAGTAATCGCATGTTGGACATGCAGATACAAAGGATTACTACATTGCAAACAGATGAGAGATGCGCATCACGTGCATTGCAGAACGTGTCACGCTTTTGCATTTCCTTTGTCAACGTTGTAGCATCGCTTTGACTAGCCTCCGAACTATTATCGGTAATCTTCCCTTAATTACTTGCCAAGAGAAAGGAGGAAGTCGACCCACTTCGAGAACAGAATCTCGTTACGAGATGCGACTTTTCGCGAGCATTCTATTAAAGAGCGTCTCAAAATTGCCGGAATTCCTTTCATTTGCGGATTCCTTGGTCAATTTAGATTCGAGCAAATTTTTTCAATTTAAGCATTCATGTATGAAAAAGGTAGCCAATAATTTTGGGATATTCGTCAGTGTGACATGTATATACGTGGTTCATATAACGTTACGACTTACATTTGTTTCGTTCGTAACGCTATGAGCCAAAGCACATAACATGGCGTAGCGATATACGACAGTCGTAGTCCTAGCGAAGTTAGCGTAATCCAGAGTTTTCTTGTGTTAGTATCTAATGCACCAATTTTCCTTTTTCTTTTATTTCAGCAGTAATTTTTGCAAAACTCTTGCAAAATATAAGCAAATGTAGCATCACATCTTGCTGTTGATTGTCTATGTTCAGCTCAAACATCGAAAATGGTCTAGCGCAAAACTGTGAAAATTCATTCTACAATTGAGGAGAAATGTAAAATTCGCAAACGATCGCAATAAATTTTCTTTATATATAGATAAGTTCTATTTTAATATAAATTTAATAAAAGTCCTATATAATATCGTATAACATACTTAAAAATTAAAGGAATTAAAAAGTGAAAGAATTTTTGTGTTATATGGTATTATATGGGTAGAAATTTGAAAATTTATTGCGATTGTTTGCGATTTTTATATTTCTTTTCAATTATAGAATGTGTTTTCACAATTTGCGCCAGACCATTTTCGACATTTGGGCTAAACATAAGCAATTAACATTTGATGCTATATTTTATTTGCTTATATTCTGCAAGAGTTTGGTAACGTTTTATTTCCGGATGATGCATCATCCGGATGTTCAACCCAAATGTCGAAAATGGCGCAAAATGTAAACTCATTCTATAATTGAGAAGAAATATAAAAATCGCAAACGATTGCAATAAATTTTCCTTGATACCTTATAAGTCCTACTTTAATATAAATTTAATAAAAGTCCCATATAATACCATATAACATAAAAATTCTTTCACTTTTAAATTCCTTCAATTTTTAAGTATGTTATAAGTATTATATAGGACTTTTATTAAATTTATATTAAAATAGAACTTATATATAAGGTATCTAGAAATTTAAAAATTTATTGCGATCGTTTGCGATTTTTACATTTCTTCTCAATTATAGAATAAATTTTCACAGTTTTGCGCTAGACCATTTTCGATATTTGGGCTAAACATAGACAATCAACAACAAAATTTGATGCTACATTTGCTTATATTTTGCAAGAGTTTTGCAAAAATTACTACTAAAATAAAAGAAAAAAAAATTGGTGCATTAGATACTAACACAAGAAAACTCTGGATTACGCTAACTTCACTAACTCATGTGCCATGCTAATGAGTAGCCTAGAAAATGCCGTGTTTGAGGGTTAAATGTCATTATAAATCTTTAATATATTGTTTAAAAAGACGCATTATTTTTGGAATAGGAATTAAGTCCCCCTAGATTGTCAAAATATCACACAGTGCGGCGTTGCGACTCTTTCAAATTTGTACGAAAAATTTATGGTAGAAAATCGATCACTTGATTATATATGTATATATATATATATTACCAGCTTTTATATTTCATGGTACTCTTCCTTAAGTACTACCTTCCCCTGGGGTACGACCTTGGCGAGGTGGGAAGGCCCAGTACCCAGTACGAGGATTTTACCCAAGCAAAACTCTTGTTCTGCTTGGATAAAAATCCAAAGACGGGGAAACTAACGTACCCTTCGTCCGCCGATTTAATTGAATGAACGAACCGCAGCCGGTTCGTCGCGTTTGCTTCGGGAGTGCCGTTCAAGTAATCGGACTAAAAGACTTTTTTAAACGGGAGTGCCGTACAGTATATCGCGCGAAAGACATTTTTACTGATAGATAGTCCGCGCGCGATTGTAGTTTGTTATCCGCGAGTGTTTCTCGCGAGTGTCCTGTGCGGCGCGGCGGGAGGAGAAGGCCTGACGTTCTGAGAGGAGGAGGAGGTCTGGGAGAGACATCGGGCCCCGGCAGAGCAACTTTGGGGTGAGTATCATCTCTTATGTGCATAATATAATTCTCATTTATTTTACTTGTTTTACCTTGATAAGTTAAAAATTAGAGAAAGAGAAATTATCTACAATTTTATTCTTGTAAATATCTTTTTTGGTAAATAGATACGTGTATCGCTAAATATTTTATTGAAAGACGAATTAGAGGCGCGTAAGAATTATTTTTTGAAATATTGATCATTTTGAACGCTTCTTTAATATGAATTTTATGTTTATATGTTACAGTATCACCGTAGCTACGCGGCCGACTAACTCCGCCAGTTGCGCATCGGATCGGTGAGTCAGTGAGAATCTTTTTTATTGAGGTAGCGAATCTACGAATAATCAAATATAGAGTAAAAATATATCTCGATACATATCTCGAATTACAATAATTTATAGTATAAAAATATTACATTTCGTAGATCCGTTACCTTAAAATGGATGGGCTAAAACTGATTAGGGCAGATATTTAATCTTGGTATCATTTGTTTACTGTTGTATTTATTGATTGTTATTGATTTATTGTGATTGTGCTAGTGTGTTTGAGGAAATACTCGCACACCTCGCATGCACCGAGCTCGTGAAAAGATCATCAAATTATGTTAACAGAACTGCCGCGTTCTGTATAAATTACTTTTAAATAAAATTTCTTAATAAAATTTACATAATAAATTAAATCTTTGAAATTTTATTATATTGATGAATTCTATTTAAAACTAGAGTTAGTAATGAATATTTTCGATACACAAGAGAAAAAATAAAATAATACTCTAATTAATTAAAGTAATGATTTTTGAAATACAAAATTTTTTTAAGATTTCTTCAAAAAGAAATTGTTGTAACATTTTTTTTTTATAAAAGAGATAAGAATAAGTAAAATATTGTGTTAGATGTTATAAGAAAAAAATATTTATAGATAGGAAATAATTTTGAGTTAGTTAGGATGTGTTTTATTTATATCCATTTATTTCCTTCCATATCTATATTTAACCAAGATCAAATATTATGTAAATCGATGCAAGGAAGCATGATATAGATATAATATAAAATTTATTTCATAGAAAACGTGATAATTATTATTTATTACTAAAATTTATTTTAACAAAGCATCAATTATACCCTAATTTTTTGTAGCCTATACATCTATTTTTTATTGAAAAATTGGCTTTATGCCAGATAAAGTCAAATAACATGACGTGAGATTCTAAATATTCTGTCGAGAAACACTGAACATTTTTTAATTATTTTAGAATTGATGATATAATTCAATTATTCAGTTTTGCAATAATATATGACTACGTTATATATTATTAATATGTAATGTATTAAAATAATTTTGATAGAAAGTGCAAGATATAACGATACATTTATATCAATAATCATAAGATAAAGATTTGCATATATTATTTAATTATTCAATTATAACAATGCAGTTACTGATTAATTATAATATTCAATTATAATATTAATTGTGCGGGAAGTTTCTTTTTTTCGGATCTCACGTCATTTTATTCTGTACATCTTATTTGATATATTTTCGAGATGCATACCGCATGAACAACATGCATCGACCAGATCAAAGGGAAGAAAAAAATTCCTTCCATTGTCGTATCATTATTATTGCCGAAAGATAATATACGTTACGTTCGATTCGAATTACGCGCGAGTATCGATTGTATCAAAAAATGCACAACGAGAAGTTAATTTATAAAAAAATATTAATTTATAAAATGACTGCACAAAATTGATCAAAAACATTTCGCATCTTTGTGTTTTCGCGGACGGTTTTTTGAGAAATTTTTCATTATTAATTTTTTAATTTTATCTACATTATAAATTTAATTTTTTCATGGGATATAATTAAGATAATTATATATGTATAACGCAATATTCATAGAACGCGAAGTAAAATTTTTTCTGTAATTGATTACATTTCCAAATTAAAAGAATGGATCACAAAGAAATGGACAATCAATATTTTTAAGTAAATAACGGAATTAGAAATATTTTTTCGTAGAATAGCGCGTCGCGTGGTGTGTGTCTGCGGAACGACACCCACCACCCTTAGAAAGTTAGGCGTTTAGGACGTCGCGTAGCGCGGTGCGTGTGTCTGCGGATCGACACCCACCAAACCCGGTGGAAGTTAGGCGATTAGGACGTCGCGCAGCGCGGTGCGTGTGTCTGCGGATCGACACCCACCGCAGCTCGGTGTAGGTTAGGCGTATCGCGACTTCGCGTAGCGCGGTGG